TTGTAATATATTTGTGTTGAGATTGCCTCTATTGAAGCTATTGAAACAAGAACTGAGTGAATTCTCTACCATCAAGTGATGCTACTTAACAAGTTTCTACAGTATTAAAGCCTCCAGCTAAAACTGGTCACTAGATATCCCCATAATTTTTATTTACATTAAAAAAAACACCCATTGGAACTGTTTGTCTGAGCAATTGGTTATACAGGACATTATGATTGGAGAAAGGACCCACATCAATTTCTCACTGTCTGAAAGTTTCTATCTTTTATACGAAGCATTGTGACAGAGTAGAAACTGTAGCATTTCTTTGGCCTGACTTCCTTCCCCATCAGGCTACATCCCATCCTTGTGCTTCCGTCCCACCATTTGTTCAATAAGGGACTTGTATTAATTTTAAACAGGAGATCCTTGCTTTAAGCTTTTGCAAAGCAGCTGGAGTCATAGAACCCTGTGGCATTCCCATTGTATTTGTACAGCTAATCCTTTTATTTAGAGAGAATTTTTCTTAAGGCAAAGCTCTTCCTTAATACAAAGGTGTCTTTTAAAACTCTGGTCCTATTTAAAGCTTCACCACGGACTTGGAATTTGCTCCTGTGAATGCACAATGCAGCCTTCACAAGTCAGGGGAACACTGGGCTTGGCGCTCAGAGAGCAGGGCTGGCTGAGCCCATCAGAGTCTCAGTTTCTGCATCCGTAAAATGGTGAGAACGGTAATAATGGCCACTCACCCATGCATTGTGAGTGTTAGGAGACGGTAAATGAGATAATATTGCACACATACTTGTCATACTCCAGGGATTCTGGAAGGTTCATTGAATTTTGCCCTGAAAGTGAAAACTGCAGGTCCATCCTGGCTGATTGCCCACAGTACCAGAATTCTGCCTTCTAGGCTTCTTATTCCTGGTATTATTTACTCATGCAAAGTAAAAGTAGCTCCATCCCCAAAGCTCAGTACCCTGAGCACCTTCTTCCTCGTGCACTGAGTGACTGTAGTCATCCACACTACTGGGCTGGTTAGCAGCCCCACAGTGCACACATCAAAACCAGAGGAGTAAAAACTCACTTATTTGACTTTTTGACTTTTCCAAGTTAAAGTGATCACTTCTCCATTGAGAAGCCAACATCAGGTATGTACTTCCTCCCCAGCCAGCATTCTTGCAGTCCATGTGAGTGAGGCCTTGGAGTGTACGTGGCATAAAGCACATGTAGGGTGGATGATGTAGCTCAGTTTGCAGAATGCTTGCCTAGCATGGGCTCAATACCCAGCACTGCATAAATGAAACATGATGGCACATTCTTAAAATCCCAGTACAGGAGAGGTGAAGACAGGAGGATCAGGAGTTCAAGATCATCCTCAGATACACAGTGAGTTCAAGGCCAATCTGGGCTACATGGAACCAATTCTCTCTCTCTCTCTCTCTCTCTCTCTCTCTCTCTCTCTCCTTTCTTCTATCTATCTATCTATCTATCTATCTATCTATCTATCTATCTATCTATCTATCTTTGTGTATTTATGTGCGTGTGGCTGAGTGTATATATGTGTGCACACAGAAGCCTAAAGAGAACAGAGAGGCCATTGGATCCCCTGGAACTGGGGTTACAGGTGGTTGTGAGCCATCTTGTGAGGTCTGGAAACTAAACTTAGGTCCTCTGCAAGAACTGTAAATCCTCTTAACCACGGAGCCATCTCTCCAGCACCCACATCTCATATTTGAAACTTCTCACTGTTTGGGTTTACTTAATATGGTATTATAATGCAGCCATTATTTCTGAGACTTCCTTCATAGTCATAAATGGATTGGGATGGATTGAGAAATAGTATATGAGGCATAGATTTTTAAACTGTATGTTGTAATAATTGTCTAGATTCTCCCCAAGGTTCTGAGTTCATTCTTTGAAAAAAATCTAGTTAGTGTGTTAGCATAGTATCCTTGCCCCAAGGCATGTAATCTCCTACTCAGTAGAGGAAAGTAGACAATTTGACCATGCTCCCAAATGTCACATGCTGAGAATCACCAGGGAGTTTTATAAATGATATTTCTATGGCTATGTCCAATTCTGTGTTTTGAAAGGTTTGGAATCACTTTTGAACTGCATTTCTCCCGGACTTTTGGAGTAGCACTTGACATTACAAAATGAGGGGAAAATGTTGTATTTACTCAGAATTATTTCAGCAGGACCCAGGGAGAGCAAGCCCCCAGGGGACTGAGGCACCTTTTAGGACCTCAGTTGCAAACAGGGGAAGTCAGGTATGACAGACAACCTCAACCTTCAAGAGTGACACTCTTCCAAAGCAGAGAAAGTGAAACATCCAAAGTACGGTCTAGAAAAACTTGAACCTTGACCTGTTTGGCTTCAGAATCCAGAGTTCTGTCCTGGCAGGGAGTGAGCTGGCTGCCCATCCTCACAGCTGAATCCACTCATTTCCCCCCTCTCATTTCTGTTCTAAGGGATTTAGAAAAGCAAGCCGAAAGGAAGTATCCAGTTTCAGTCTCCTGGTGTGGAAGCTGGGGATAAAAATATTTGTTCCGCAGAGATATATAAGAACTGAACGATACGTTCAGAACCACACGGGTGGCAAGAATAGTTCTGCCAACCTGCTGCCTCATTCTTGAGAACAATACACACTTTTCGTTCTTCTACTAGGCTGGCAAGTTGGCACCATGTTGAAGTGGAGGCCGGATCATTTGAAAGAGACCCGAGTGAAAGTCCCACCTCTGCCTTTTGCTGGTGCCTTCGGGGGTTAGTTCACATTTTTTGAACTTGAATTTCCTAACAATTGGTGTGAGAAGTAAGCCAGGTAATACAGATCAGTTCCACCGTTGCAGAAAGCCCTTCTCACCAACATGTATGTTTGACCCCCCCCCCCCCCGGGCTTGGCATACAGGAAGTGCCCACTATTGGTTTCCTTCTCCTTCCTCCCTCTCCCTACTTGTCTCTGCTATTGGGATCCATGCTTTTGTCCCCCCCCCCCCCCCCCCGGGCTTGGCATACAGGAAGTGCCCACTATTGGTTTCCTTCTCCTTCCTCCCTCTCCCTACTTGTCTCTGCTATTGGGATCCATGCTTTTGGGTCAGCTGTAGCCTGGCATTTCTTCGGGATCCACGCTCCCGGCTGACCACTGGCAAACATCATCTTTTCCCTCCGTTCTAAAGCCAAAGCAGCTTCGTTAAACGAAAAGCCCTGTGTGGACGTTGAGTCACCTTGTTTTCTTCACAAAGACAGCCGTGCACTCTGTAGTTAAGGCAATTACACACTCAGTTATTAGGCTGATTATTCAATAATTAGGGGTCATTACAAGGACAGATTTATGTTATCTTGATTGGTCCTTCCTACATCCAAGCAAAGATGGCTGAGTGTTGTGAAATAACATGGTATTCATATTGGAAGCCTGCGATGGCCTTTCCAGGGTAGGCTACATCGTGAGTTCACAGGGGTTTTCCTGGAACTCCTTCCTACAAAGGGGAGGTGCGTAACTGTGAGATGCCTCTCTCTACTTGCATCCCGACACCCCAGAAGGTGGGACCTTAGCTTTTGAGATGCTTGGTTGAGAAGCATGCTGTTTCTTGAAGCATATCTCCATAGTTAAATTGACTCTCATTTTATCACTCCCCCCCACCCCCACAGGAATATGTCATTCTCAGAAGTGTGAGCAACTTTAACTTCTAGCAACTTCTAGAAAAATAGCCAAGGATGCCACGGTGGCATATCTTCCGGTGGAGTGTGACAGCTTTTTGGGCATGATCTGCACCACAGTGTAACTCAGTCTTTTGTGGCTAGAGAGGCACACTGTCGCCAGGACGCTGAGGTGGAGTAGACGGATGTCGTGAGAAAGTAAATTCTCTCCTGTGCCTTGTGTACCGAGGGTGCACCCTGCATACCAGCCCTTATCATCTCCCTGACGTTGCTGGATCTAAAGTGATACTGCACGGTGCCCGGCTGCCTGGCATTTCTAAGGCTTAGAGACTTTTTTTTTTATGTTTCAAAGCATGCAGAAACCCAGGCAGTTTTGCTTTTTAAAAGACACTCGATAATAATTCCGAAATGTTTGCTGTCTTTACTTTCTATATTATTTATAGAGAGAAAACTAATTTTACAAACGAGTTTCCCCAAGTCTATGGTTAAGATATGACAGTAGGATTTACACGAGCAATACTTGAGACTTGAATTCTTTTGCTCTTTTCCCCTGGAACTGTCATGTGAGCTGGTTTTTTTTTTCCTCCCCCATCCTCCATGGTCAGCTTCAGAGTCTCTCAGTGTCTTACCTGCTCCTGAAGGTGGCTGATGTTTTCCTCATATTGGGAATAATCTTTTCTATTGCCAGGTTCTCTCTCCTGATGCCATTGTAGGATGTGACTTTCCAGCTTTGAATTGGCCTCCTCCAGAGCCCGTACCTTCTCCAGGTAGGTGGCCAGGCGATTGTTGAGGTTTTGCATGGTGGCCTTGCCATTTCCACCTAGCAGGGGACTGCCTCGTTCAGACCCCCATGATCCTCCAGGAGGCAGGCAGCCTGGTGTAGTGAAGGAAAGGGAGATGCGGACACCCCCTGCGCCTCCATGGACGCTAGGTGTCCTGTGGAAGCTCCCAGACTGACTCCAGCTGCTTCCAAGGCCGTGGACAGAGGCCGAGTAGGTCTGGCTAAAGCCCTGGCTGGAGTTCATGGTTCCATCTGTGTATGGAGCAGGGCTAGACTCTCTGACACCACAGGACTGAGCTGCTCCAGACTGCCTGGGATGGTTTTATGCCCTTTGCTGTGGGAGTTTCCTCCTCTGACAACTGTACCGACAAGATCCTATCATTGTGCAATGTGTGTTTCCTCTTGGTCAATCCCGAGGTGCCCCTGGGCCAACACACTTTGCTGTTGTTGTTTAGAACCACATGAATATGCCGGTTACCTCCTCCCTCCCAGTGGTAACCCGGAGGCGTGGCCCACGACATCAGGTGGGTAACCTGCCATCTCAGGTGTCTTTCTAATCTTGCAGTGGAATTTTTCCAATGTACACTCACCCAAAAAAGGTCAGATTAAAGTCCACAGTTAAGACTATCTTGTGTAGTACAGATTTTCTTTTTAAAAACTAAACATTAATCAAGTGCGCGTGCGTGAGCGCGCGCATGCGGTCTCTCTCTCTCTCTCTCTCTCTCTCTCTCTCTCTCTCTCTCTCTCTCTCCAGATAAACTCTCTACAGCCAGAGTAAGAAAGACATATAAGGAAGGGTAGAGCCAGAACAAACCAGAATCTCAGGTCCTAGAAGAAACTGCTCCTGTGCAGGAGGAAATAGAGAGAGCACAGAATATCTGATTCCTTTGTGGCTCTTGCTGTTTGATGGAAAGTAATTTCAAAGGAATCGCTCTTCAGAACAAACCCTCAATTACAGTTGTAATTAATTAATGAATGACTGGCCTTCCGCTTCCAGGATGTCTTTCATCCCAGCACACCTCAAACAAAACCAAACAACCCAGCCTGTCCCTAGAATGTCCCTGGGCTCCAAGGAGAAATACAGCTTTGCTTTGCTAATTGCTCAGCACTCCTTTCTCTCTCTCTCTCTCTCTCTCTCTCTCTCTCTCTCTCTCTCTCTCTCCTTGAATCTGCAGACCATTGGCTTGTATGTGACCTACAGCCTACAGCACAAACTGTGGAAACAGGAAGCCTGCCATGATTGTTTGATGAGATGGATGAATCTTTCTGCCAAGGTAAAGGTTGGGAATGAAAAGGATATAGTTTGGAGCACAGGCTGTGTGCTGCCCTTATTGGTGACCTGATTTAAAGAAGACTGAGAAACAAAATGTCAGGGTCTCTGGAGATGGTTCAGTGGGTTAAGGGCCCTTCCTGTGCCAGCATGAGGACAAGAGTTCAAATCCCCAGAACCTATGTGAGAAGCCAGGTGGGATATTGCTGTTGTAACCTCGCCATTGTTGGAGTGGGAAGAGAGACAAAAAGATCTCTGGGGCTTGGTGGCCACCAGTCCATTTTGAGGTTCAGCAGAGACTGTCTCAGTGGAATAAGGTGGAGTGACAGAGGAAGACGCCCAGTGTCCTTCACTGTATTTTGGTGTGTTCAACCTCTCGCCACACAGGCAATCATGTACCATATGCCACACATACACACAAAACAAAAAATAAAGTATCAGTTATCAGAAGAGACTTTAGTGTTACTATGCAATGCTACTAATTGCACAGATAAGGGGAAATGAGCCCAAAGGGGGCGTGGGGAGGATGAACTTGGAGTTAGTGAAGCTACAGCAGGATTCTCCCTGCCACAGAGCGCTGTTGTCAGGCATGAAGAGGTCCTGTGCAGGTCTTCTCCCATAATGGTAGTGGGCCTGCTCAGCCTCACAGACCTTGTTGATCCTTATTGTTAGGAATTTTTCCTAACACGAGCTCTCTGCCGACTCAAAATCCCAATCAATCCAAATCAAAACAAGCCAAATTAAAAAATATACAGGTTTAATAGGATTCCTGTGATGTCGGGTGGCCCTGAGGGGGAACCAGGAGGCCATGAACGCGACCACCAGGAGGAAGGAAAAGAGACCATGTGTTCATCTTTTGGGAGTTCACTTAAATACCCAGGGAGGGGTCAGGACCTGGCATGCTGGGATTTGGAGTCCAGACCAATACAACTCTCAGGCCTGGGGGCTGGGGGCTATGCTCCCAACTTAACATTTATAACAGCAATTGATTGTTTCCAGGGAAAGGTTATAATTTGTTATTATTTTTTCTCTCTCTCTCTCTCTCTCTCTCTCTCTCTCTCTCTCTCTCTCTCTCTCTCTGTGTGTGTGTGTGTAGGGTGTGTGTGTACTGAATATGGAACCCAGGACCAGTGGTAGACAAATGCTTTACTACTGACCTCTATTTCCCAGTGCAATGCCCAGGTCTAACACACTTTGTAGACAAAGGATCAGGTGTTTGTAGAGGTGAGTGACTCAGAGTTATATGCAGGTTCAGTGTAATTGACTGCATGACTTTGGCTTTTCCTTGGAAAGGTGGGTTCAAGGGTTACTTCCTTCCTTCATCATTTTCTGAATTCTCTGGACTGAATTTGATGCTCTGCTGGGAGGGAATGACCTCCTCTAGATCCAAGGTCTTCCAGGAGAATGGGCCACTCGGTATCCCTGCTCTTCTACAGATGTTGGAAGCACCCACAGGATCCAGCTGTTTCCTGTGGTAAGTGAAGTTCATTCTTAACTCTTTCCGAACTTGAAGCCGGGTCTCATGTAGCTAAAGCTGGCCTTAAATTTTCTATGTAGCTGAGGAGAGCCTTGAACTTGTACTTCTGAGTCTCCTGTTTCCACCTCTTGAGTGCTGGCGCTATAGTCATGGGACCTGCTACTCTCTTTATACGGATGGTACTGGGAATCACTCTCAGAGCTTCTTAGACAGTAGACAAACACTGCGCCAGCCACGCTGGTCCCAGCCCTCTCACTATTGACTTCACTGCTTAACACACTGGTTACATGTCTCTGAGAATGCAGTCTTCTAGAAAGTAGGATTAGGTCTTCTGCCTTCTAAGTACCCAGTCTGGTTGGAGCACTGAAACAATGAAGGGTTTCGTAAATGGTGCCTTTTCATAAGTTCAGTACTGAGGTTTTCTAGAGTAAGAATTTTAGCTCAGGCCCTCCCATGCCGTTATTTCCCATCCCTTTGGTGTTAAGCCACAGAACCTGAGTACCTGAGTTTCAATTATAAGTAAAACCATTGAAACACATCAGCTCTGTTCCTTCTGCCCTGCATCAAAAACGGAGCCAAGAATGTTCACTGCATTTTCCTTATTTGACCATAGAAATACTGGAAAGCTGAAATTGTGACTAAAGAAAGCTCGATGGTTCCTAGAAGGAGATCTTGGGACCACGTAGGTCTCCAATGAGAAGAAAGAACCAAGGCAATGCTTTTGCTTCCAATGTCCCCTTCAAAACACACACTGGAATTTGATCTGTACTGTGAAGTAGGGGGAGGCGGGACCAGGCAAGCCATCTCAGAGATGGTTAGATAGTGACCACTCTGCCTTCATGGATGGATTAATCTCTACATATTAATGGGTTGGTTGGTTAGCAGGTTCTCTTAAGAGTGAATTTGTTGTAAAATGCAGCCTGCCTCTGCTGTCTCTGTCTCTGGCTCCCCTCATCACATGATAACCCATTCTGCATCAGGACTCTGCAGGCAAAGAGACCCTCACCAAATGTGGACTCTCAGCCTTGAACTTCACAGCCTTGAGAATTGTAAGAAATGACCCTCTCAGCTATTCTGTATATAGAAAAAAGACTAAGAGAGATACAGAGAGACAATTAAAATAGAGGAAGTGGTTTTGTTTGAACTTGAAAGGTCCCTGGAAGGCTCAAGGGCTGACTATTCCCAACTGGGGGTGCTGCTCTGGATGGCTGGGAGACCTTCAGGAGGAGGGGAAAGCTGGTGGAAGGCCATTGCTGTGAGAAAGCATTAGAGAGGTAACCTCGCCCCCAGTTTGGCCACTCCTCCACTTGATCTACCGTGGAGTCTGTGCCATAAGCTCCCAACACCATGACTCCTATTACACCTTTCTCACCTTGATGGACTGGATTGTCTGATACCATGAGCCAAAAAAGATCTTTCTTTTCACATGTTGGTTTTGTGACGTACTCGGTCGTGAACTCCAGAGATTGTGTGCTCTGGTGGACACAGAAAGTTCTTGATCACTGGCTTTGACTCAGGTTTGTGGTTACATATGGGTTTTGTTGACGTGGAGCCAGCCTCAGGAAGGAGAAATAAAAGGAGAACAACCCTGCCTCCAGTGAGTACAAGGTCCAGGCTGCACCCCGAAATTCTTTCACAAGAATCTACGTGGAATTGATCCCATCCTCAATAGTTCCAGGCGTGTCTGAGAAGTCATGACTTACTAACCCATATATCTGGCTCCTGTCTCATTTTACATCAGTATGTGTGGGTTTTGATTTATAAGAATTAACCTTGAACAAAACAAAAAAAATTTTTTTTGTATTGCGTAGCCGGAACAGGGTGGGGAAACATGATGGCGTAATTTGAAAGGCCTGAGGAGAGGCAGGCAGTCTTTTGTCATTTACCATGCAGCGAATTTCCTTATAACTTCCACAGAGAACCTATTGGGTCTGAAAAGAAACGATGGCTTTGGCGTTGGGTGTGTAAAAGTGCTATGTGCCCAATACGAAAATTCAGTTACTGTATGAAAGTACAAGACAGAAGATTGGAAGCACTCCAATTTCACTACACAGAGGCAACTCTTGGTAAATCCTGACCAACCCCTTTCAGACACCCTCTAGCTGTGTCATCTGGAAGACATGGATGACTAGAATAATTTTGGGAAAAATGACATATAATAATCCAGAATGAACTTCTTCCTGCCTTTCCAGCAGGTGTCCATTATTTTTTCATTTTGTTCAGGGGACAAACCTGCACCTGCAATATGACTTCAAGGTCTTCTGTGTAGTTCTAGTTGTTCGTGACTTTACCACCTCGGCGTGACTTTGTTTTGTCTTTCTGATGGACTAAGACACCGTCACGTAGAGGCACAGAGTGTTTTGTTGGAGAGGCTAGGTGGTGAGGGAATGGGAGGGGTTGCATGTGGGCATCTCAGAAGCCAGCAGGGAGCTGCCCTGACCCAGAGCACAGCTTGTCTGTGCCTCTTAAAGACAATCATTCCACCATCGAAACATTTCAGGATACTCTTCTCCTTTTAGTGGCAGAATGGCCACAGTAATCATCAAACATATTTTTTACTGTGTGTGATATTTAAGGACAAATGGCAATAGAACTCCAGACAAAATTCCTATGCCATTATCCTATGCTTGAAAGGGCTACATTAAAAAAAAAAAAAGGTACAGGTAAGCCTAGTAACCATGGTGATGGTGATAACAGACTAGACATTGCGATTCTTAAACTAGGGCCAAGTGAAACTGATCCCCATCGACTTCTGTTTGTCTAGTAGAAGGAGACAATAGGAGCAGTGAAGCATTCAGGATGCTATGTCAGACTGGGGCGGACAGCGTTGGGTCAGAGTTGCTTCCGAATTGTTTCGGTGCGTAGTGGTGAGTGGACGAGAACAAACAAACAAAAACAAAAGAAAAATTCCCCAACCGTGCATGAGCAAAAGGGTTTTAAGAGCACAGAAGGAAGTTTTATAAAGCGGTAAACTGTCAGTGCTGGGAACTAGCCTTACTTTGATTTTTACATATGTATGCGTGTATATATGCGTATTTGCATGTGTGTGCATATGAAGACCAAAGGTTGACATCAGATACATTTTCTGACCACTTTCCCTCTTATATATTGAGGCAGAATCTTCAGTTAATCCCCAGATCTCTGATGTGGCTTCTCTACCTAGCCAGCTTGCCCCAGAGAACTCCTGTCTTTGCCTTTTGAGTGTTGGGATCACAGTCAGGTTTGTCACGCCCTCTTGCCATTTACATGGATGCTGGGGATTGAACTTAGGTCCTCGTGCTTGTGTGGAAAGGGCTTCACCCAGTGAACCATCCCCCAGCCCCTCAATTTTATCTTCAAAAGCAAGAAATAACTTGAAACTTACTTATAGGATATTGATACTCATAGATTACGGAGTGGGCAGGGCCTTACAAGTAACCACCTGTTGTAATACAAGCAGCGGGGCTGCGTCCCTGGCACCCGGCCGCCTGCATGGCTTATGCCCCGAAATAATTACATGGAAACTGTATCCTTTTAAACACTGCTTGGCCCATTAGTTCCAGCCTCTTATTGGCTAACTCTTACATATTGATCTAACCCATTTCTAATAATCTCTGTAGCCCATGAGGAGGCTTACCAGGAAGATCTTAACCTGCATCTGTCTGGAGTGGGAGAATCATGGCGACTCCCTGACTCAGCTTTTTTTTCCCCCAGCATTCTGTTCTGTCTACTCCGCCTACCTAATTTTCTGTTCTATTAGGGCCAAGCAGTTTTCTTTATTACTTAACCAATGAAACAACAGAGAGAAAGATGACCCTTCTCCATCAACCACCAACAAATAGCATCTAGGCACTTAAGAGGAACAATAAGAATCTGGGAGCGGTAAAGACACCAGAATCCAGGAAGAGAACGTAAACCTTAATGCAGTGGGATGGTACGTGCAACATCCAGACCAGAAGCATTGTGTTCCAGGCAATCTGGACACATGAAAACATGACTGAAAGGCATGTCTGCTGCACATGCCACACGGCAAACCGCTGCCTGGTTATCCCACCGCTTAGCAAGGCACTGTCTGACTCATCTTTAATTCCCCAATATCTCCAGCCTGTGGCAGGAAGGGTTGCTGAGGCTGCCGCTGAGAAGGAGCTCAAGCAGTGCTAGAGAGTGTGAAGAAGTCTTTGTGAGACGAAATGAGCAGAAAAGGAGGCCGATTGTGGGCAGGCGCGGTTACAAGGGAACACGCTGCCCTATGACCTGCTGACAGTTGGTCTGAGACTGAGATCCACTTGGGAAGGAGTGGGAAGCTCTCTTCAGTGTCCAGAAAGAATAGCTGGAAACTCAAATTCAGCGGAATCTCTCCAAATTTTGGATTAGTTTAAAAAAGCATCAGACCCTTGTGATTCTGTAAGCTGGCAAATAGCTCGAGTAGTCTTAGTAGATTTAGGTTTGGCTTTTCTGGCGAGCATACCTCACTGAGAGTGTTGTGTATTTCCTGTTGTTCACAGGGGAACAAAACGCCCATGTCACTTGCATATGATACATGTGAAACTGTATGCGATTTTTTTTTCTTCCCTTATTTTTATTCTCCTCCCCCACTTCACCTCAGAGGTGCTGGAGTGTTCACTGACATCTGCCTTTTGTTTCTATTTATTAAACAGGATCTAACTGTGTCCTTGAACCCAGAGGTCCTCCTTCCACAACCTCCCAGGGGCTGGGATCACAGCATGGTCCACCGTGACTTTGATTCTCCAAAGGAAAAGATGCCACGAAGAAGTTAGAATCCATCCATGCAAAGCTTTTAGAGTTCTCTCCCCGACATTGTCCTTTAGTTACCAACTGACTTTGTCACCATCTTCTGGGCAATATATTTGTCACTCTATACCTGGGTCTACGCCAAGGAGGAGTGGCCTGGCCTACCAGATGTAACTGTGCGTCCTTTGTCCTTTTCACCCCATAAAAGAAGGTCTATACCATCCTGCTGACACCGAACCTTTCAGAGAAGACAGCAGAAGTTGCAGCCGTGTAAGTTTTTGGAGAGGAGTGGCCAGACGCCATGCCATAAGCCTGGCTTTAGAAACGCAGAGTCCCTTTGCACCACTTTGACATGGCGCCAGGCCTGCTGAGGTGATTGTGTTCATTGCAGGTGAAGTAAGACCGGCAGATGCCCACCAGTGGGTGGGGTGTGCCATCGCAAGACCAGAGTGGTTTCAATCCTCTCTTTTCTCCTTAATCCAGCAGGCATGGCAGCTAATCACACAAATCTTGTCTACAAAGGCTGCTGTCAGGAATAATCCCTGAGCTAGCCAGCACGTTAGCGTCGACGCTCCTTGGGTATTACTTTCCTTTTCTGTTGCCACATCCTCATGTGACGTCCTGAGTATCCCTGGTGTTGGTTGGCTGGGGCATTACCTCATGAAATCTGCCTAAACTCTTGTTCTTGTAGGTTTTACCTTTAGCCCAGAGGTACTTGTGGTATCAGGGCCAGTGCGACCTGGGGAGAGTCCCTGCTTTACTCTTTGTACCGGAGTCCATCCCTACTTGACACTTTGGGACCAGACATTTATCTGGTCGACTCTTTAAAACTTTGCTTCTAAAAAAGGGGAGGGGGCGAGGCTTCATTACTTTATTCATTCATTCATTCATTCATTCATTCATTCATTCCGCAAATGTCACCCAGACACCTGTGCTGAGTTACTGGAGCAGAGAGAACAGAGAAGAAGGCAGAGCTGGACGAAACCAGGGATGCCTCAAGATGCTGTTTTGGCGTACTGCCTACTGCGGCCCCTGTATTCATAGGAAGTACCTAAAGAACAAAAGACACCTATGAGGGGTGATCCCAGGCTCTTCCGGCTCTGTGGTGTGTTTTGTTCTTCAGCGTCAGTGTCATGGGAAATCACAGGAAGCTCTCAGGAAGCAGTGCTGAGCTGTGGCCACATGGCTAGCTCCTGTGCCATGTGGAAAGGGACCGAGAGCAGGAAGAAGCATGTGGGGACAGTAAGAAGGGCACTTGGTGACTGACCTGTGACCTTTGGCAGCAGAATGATTTAGTGAAATAGGCAGAGATGGTAGACTGGAATCCTTAACATCAACCACGTTCCTGCTATGACAAAGAAGACGTTAAAATAAAATTCAGCTTGCCAGAACATTCTGTGTGTTATCTTGTATTACAACAACTAGGTATTAGGACAGGGTGGCGCATAATAAACCTGTCTTACAGCCTTTCCTTGGGAACTTGGGTCTTCCATACATCTTTCGAGCAAGTGACAGCCATTCAGACATGCTTTTGTTAGCTCATTACTTTCCCTATAGTCTCTCGTCTTTGTCATCCCTAAATGGTCTTGACCTTTTCTTTTCTTTCTCCCACAGAATTATGATAGGTCAGGGATAAAAGCCAAAAGTGGTCACAAGAGAGACTCAGATCAGCAATTCAGACCTTTGCTTTTGCCCCAAGATTACAAAGTCTGTTAGAGAATCAATTATTTTGAAATATATATTGTGACCTAAAAGAAAGAGACTGTTTTTGCACAGTGCTTGGAAGTGCACAGCCTGGAGTCACAGAGTCCTAGAATTGAATCTTAGCTCCGCCACTGTCCCAACGACTCCCAGGAGTTATGAGCCTCTACTGCCTCCTGCTCTTTGTCTGTAAAATGAGTAGTTGTTGGAAAAAGCACACAGAGAGCACTTAACCTTTTGACACACCATAAAGGCTCCATAAATGTTAATTGTTATTGTTGTTGCCATAACAAGGTGCCCTCTGAAGGTTATGGAATATGTTTACACCTGCAAACTATTAGTTACAATATGTCCTTAAACATGTTTTATCCTTGTATTGGCTGTGTTCCCCGAGGCTTGAAGGACTGCACGGAAACTTGATTGGCCAGAGGATTTAAACACACATATCTTCATCACCGTATATATAGTATCCAGTTTAGGTGTTGGTTTTGAGAGATAACAATGGGGTCTCAGTTCCCCTTCACTTCCTTTCCATTCCGTTCCATTCTGTTCCCTTCCCTTCTTTTCCCATCCCTTCCCTTCCTAACCCTCCCCTCTCTGTGCTTCTCCCCTCCTTTCATCTACTCTCTTCCTCCTCCCCTTCCCCTCATTTGGGTTATGATTAGCAAGTGTAAGTGCAGTAGGCAGAATATGACCCACTCCCAGATGTCCACATCCTAGCACCCAGATCCTGCCAACAGGCTGTGTTACGTGGCAAAGGGTAATCGGAGTTGTAGCTAGAATTCAAGTTCTTAATCAACCGGCCTCAGAGTCAGGAGATCGTCTTCAGTCATCTAGGAAGGTCCCATGTCATCTCTGATGCCGAAGGGAGAAAGAATTGCCACTCGGTGTTGGAGAAGGAGAAGAGAGAAAGGTGGTGTTCAGAGTGATGCGCTCTTCCACCTTGACATCAGAAGGAGATCACAAGCCAAGGACAGCTCCCAGCAACTAGGAGGTGGAAAAGGTAAGGGACCCAGTTCTCATTGGGGTCCTTCAAGATAGAACCTAGCTCTGCTGATTTCTTGGTCTTAGAGCCTGGAGGCCCATGCTGGGCTCAAAACAGACAGCTGTAAGATAAAAAGTCAGTGTGGGTTTGAATCACTAAGTCCGTGGTAACTTGTGTGCGTGTGTGTGTGCACGTGTGTCTACATGCATATAAAAGGAACCCCAGTGATTATTTTTTCGAGAAGTCAACTAAAGTGTTTAGAATTTTCTGTTTTATTAAAATAAAAGTTTCAATACATGTGTCTAGTATGAATCTTTATTGATGTAATAGCATAGATGCTCATAGCGGCTTTACTTTCCGAATCCAGAGTTACCCAAATTATAGGCATTTAAAAAATTAGAACATGCACTTCTATAAGATATCACACAGATGCCGGGCGGTGGTGGCACACGCCTTTAATCCCAGCACTTGGGAGGCAGAGGCAGGCGGATCTCTGTGAGTTCGAGACCAGCCTGGTCTACAAGAGCTAGTTCCAGGACAGGCTCCAAAACCACAGAGAAATCTTGTCTCGAAAAAGAAAAAAAAAAAAAAAAAAAAAAAAAAAAAAAAGATATCACACAGATGTGGAATTTCCATTTATATTTAATTCATCCTTATAGGAAAGGTTGGAATTACGCAGAGTCGTAGCTGTTTCTGAATATCCTGGACAGCCCAGGCACCGCAATTAGGACTTGAGTGAATATGTTATCTTTTCGTTATGACTAAAGCCCATTCTCTCCCAGTCTCATCCTTGGTTCACAGCTCTCAAAATCCTTTATGGACCTTCCTCTCAGACAGGGCCATCTGGGCCCTGCGTTTCTTCATCACTAATTGCTGTTTACTACACAGGCTTAACATTAATATGAAGAGATGGTGCTGTAGTTGGAACAATGGCCATCGTGTCTGTGACCTAGAGCTGCTGTCCTGACTGGGTGAGCCCCAGATGACTTCTCGGCTTTCCTTACTCAGTGGCCGTAGGGCATGCAATTTTGTGTTTCCTCATTGCTGTCACCTGTCCCTGTCATCCAATTTGTATCTTTTTTTTTTATGGAACGCTTCACGAATTTGCGTGTCATCCTTGCGCAGGGGCCATGCTAATCTTCTCTGTATCGTTCCAATTATAGTATATGTGCTGCCGAAGCGAGCACAATTAGATCCCGGGCCTGTCCATCCTATTACTCCGTGTCCTGTTAATTGTGATATAAGACTGAACCGGCAAGTCCTCTACAGATCCGAAAAGCCACATCGCTGGGGAAACCACGAGTTGTGTGTTGGAAACATGGATGTCTGGAAGCTACTCTTTTAACCCTGCACTTGTCATGAAGGAGCTTGGAGATGAATCTTCTCTTTTCTTCTTGTTTTTCCAACGAAGAGATCTCAGCTTTGTAGCTAGGAGAGGAGAGAGCCAGTATTCAAGCAATAAACTGCCTGAGTCCAACAACCCGACTTCTACATTGGGAACGAGGTGGGATGCATGCTGTCTAGTGCAGGCTTCTGGTCTCCAGCGCATAGCCCTTTGTTCGGTTTACAGTAGCCTGTATCTGCTCTCAGGCTGGTGAGTTCAGCGTACTATCTGTGTTAGTGTCCAAGAACCAAAGGCATCCCCAGAAGCCAACTCACAATAATGCCTTTTGAATGTCACGTGAGCCAGAATGCCAGATCAATACCACTTGGAGGCAAAGTATCTGCGCCTAATAGTTTTCACCTGAAGTTCGGAGTACCTTTTTTTTTTTTTTTAAATCACAACTGAGAATAGATTAATTAATTAATTGGCAAAGATGGAGCCATAAGAGAGATCCCAGATCTTAAGGCACGAGGTCTAAAGTGCTGCGCCAACTCTTAAGTTTCAGTGTTCTTTCTTCTGCCTTATTCTTTCCTGGAATGAACCACATGCTGACACGTGTGGAGGGCTCACTTTCTTAGATTTTAATGGAAAACATTTCTGAAACCTTCCTGCCTTTGATTAATTGACAAATATTACAGTAGCTTGAATAATCATTTGATGCCGTGACCTCCACACTTTGGGATTGGCCTGACTAGGACAAGGGGGGAATGAAGAAAGACACACATATGGAAGGCTGGGATCAGGTGGGTTGCTCGCTCTGATGGAGGGACACACTGAGCACATTTGATATATACAGCTGAACGGGAGGAGGGTCAGCTAATCTCCGTAGGGTGGGGTGGGGTCTTTGTAGGGGAACATCAAGGAGGAGGAAGCTAGCTGATACTTTTTGCACAAACTGTGAACATCCTTTTCTGGACCAAGGACTTGTCATTCCCGTGGGTCTGAGACACTGGGGTCCTTGACATGGCTGTGCTCCTGTCAGCAATACACATTCACCCAGGACTTCATCAATTCCCACAACTAGGCATATGGAGTATAGAAGATGTGAGTTGGCTTAAATCTTGGTTTTACAATGCCCTAGTAACAAGACATGGAGACGTTGACTTCTCTAAGTCCTGATTCAGCTGTTAGTTGTGCAAATACTGATAGCATTGCAGGGTAATCATGGGAATTTAGTGAGAAAATACATGCAAAGTACTTAGAACAATGTCAAGTTATAATTGCCCCACTCTTTCTATTTTTGGCTTTAAGAGGCACCGTGGCTTTTGCACACAGGTAATGATTTTAGTTATAGGTTAGTTGTTCTTTGTTAACTCTGAAGTTTTTGCAGAATTTTTTCTACTAATTTCCCCCTAACCATATAACCTGGTTTTGGGGAACACTGAGACCATGAAGAACAAGGACACTAGGTACTGTGCTAGGGGAAGAGTTCATATGACAGACTCATATGAACTGCCCTTCTGTTTCCCGCTTCTACAACTCTGATCTTGTAAGTACAAGGTTGACTACATGCTTGTCTCCCTCTTTTCTCTGACCAAGGGACATCTTCTTACTGTTGATTGATAGGAAATATGAGGGCTAGTTATTACAGACATAGGCCTTTCTAATTGAATTCCACGCATTCTGGAAGAGTTGGACCTATGCTCCATTTTACTATGGGCCACTCCATGGTTCCACTTTCTCTTGAAAGGAGGTGGTTGGGATGACTTTGGACAGCTGTTCTATTGTTCATTTGCTTAAGTGAGATAACTTGTTAGTATTAGTGTGATTGTTTTACCAATTGAATGTAAGTTCCTCAAAACATCATAAGGGCAGCTTACCCACAAAGTTATGGGGTGCCTATGATGCTCTAAGTGTTTTGCATGCACTAATTAATGTCATCATCTCAACACTATGAAGTACATGCCATTACTAACCCCATTATACAGACCAGGAAGTGGCATGAGAGAAGTTAAATAGCTCCTGTGGGATCTCACAGCTGGGTAATCAGATCCAGCTTGGTCTAGGTTCAAGTATTTGGTCTCTGTTTCCTTGTCGTTTGGTGTTTGAGGCAATGTCCCCCTGTGTAGACCAGGATGGTCTTGAATTTAGAGATCTGCCTGCCTTGGCCTCCTGAGTGCTGGAATCAAAGGCTTGTGCCACCATGACTGGCTAATATTTTTCTTAATCAGTTCACAATTTTGCTTCTTGACCAGACATGCCCAAGTTCTCTACTAGCTTTTGCTAATGCCCCACTTCTGGATTTTTTTTTCTAGAGCACTTGTTCTGGATCTTCATCTTAGTCTCTTTTGCTTCTTCAGGTTACAGATT